CCCGCCGTATCCGACAGGTGGTCCCTGCTGCTGGGCGTACATCGGCTGCTGCTGCTGGGCGTACGGAGCGGGCGAATGGCCCTGAGCTGGGTAACCGCCGCCGCCGTAGCCGTGAGACGAAGAGCCGGAGGGTTTAACCTTACCCGCCGCGCCAAAGATCTTGCCGAGGAAGGACCCCTTAGATCCGCTGCCGCGGTCGTTGGCATCAGGACGAGGCGGTAGTTGCGAAGGGAACGGCGACTGTTGACCACCGGATGGGGTATGAGCGCGCTGGTTAGCGGCCGCGGCGGCGCGAGCGTCCTCTTCGGCTTGGAGCTGGCGGGCTAGACGGGCGTCTTCGTCTTCGTACGAGTGAGAGGCGTCGCTGCGGTTGGCCGGGTTGTCGTAGGGGTTGTTGCTGTGGCTGGACTTGCTGTCGGATGGAGCATGTTTGCTGTCGCCGGCCGAGTACGAGGGAGGGGGGCCGGCAGGGGCGGATTCATCGCGGGGAGGGACGGCGGGCTCAGTGGGTTTCTCCCATTGCGATTTTTTGGTGTAGGTGTTGACGTAGAACCTGGTGAGAGAGAGGTGATGGTGTTAGCGATGGTGCGCTGCAGTTGTTGATTGAGCAAACGACTGGTTTCCCGAATGAACACATACGAGGATGGGGAAACGAGAGTAGACTTACCATTCTTTATACTGATCGTTCCATCGTGCCACCCAGCCCTCAGGAACCTTGGGCGGGGGAGGACCGGGAGGAGGAGCAATGAAGTCGGCCATCGAACGGGCTTTGCTGGTGTTTGTTTGAGGGTAGGTTGATTAAGTGGCGAGGAAGATTTTGGAGGTCGAGGAATGAAGTCGCAAAATAAGAAGATCTGGCTTCGTACGACTTGTTGGTTGATGTCGGGTGAGGCAGGCAGGAAAAAGGTGGATGACGAAGGAGGGGTACAAGAGTTTGTAAGATCGTGTAAGAGATGGGTTTCAAAGCGGGGGGTTGGTTAGTTTATATACTCTTGGTACCGAATCTGCGATAACAACCAGGCTGTGGCAGAACTGAGCAGAACCCAACAGATGTAAGATTCAAAATAAATATTTGAGGAGATGGAAGGATGAAGAACAGATTTGATATTGTGAAGGGCGAAGATAGGCAATTGAAGCGCTTGCGTAGGGATCTAGTGGCGTTGCGACTGAAAGTAGACGTATGATGTAAACTGCGGATGCGATGCCAAGACTGGCGATCACGAACGACTCGCCAGGAATATCAGACGGAATCGCAACGATAAAAGGCAGCAGGGGCAGCGGATACCAACACCACTGAAGCAGGCGTAGAAGCGACGTGAGAGCTAGGAACATCGAATTCTACCGAGCCATAAATTGCACAGCCCCGTTCATGAGGGGTTCAGGTTGGCAAGGTATCGTGGTGATTCAGCAGCATAGGCGAGTTATGGAAAGTCGTCAACTCCGCGAACCCCGGCATCGGCTGTCCGGTGTTCCGGGAATAACCTCTAGCACTAGGTATCTTGATCAATCAGCCACTATAGGGGCCGAGCGTCGCGTTGGAACTCTATAATTCCAGTATAATTCGCCCGAGTCGCTTGGTTGCAATGTTCATCACACGCTTCTTGTCGCCGCCTGGAATTGAGGCCGCCCGTGGTCATGTTCGGACGATGTTACTTGTGTGTCCTGCCATGTGATCAAGTCGATACCACTGCACATGGACTTGACGAGAGCATCGGATAACATCAAGGAGGCTGTGCAATTCTCATTCGAGTTAGAGCCTCACCTTGACCGTCCCGGGCTGGCTCCTTTATTTTATTTCATTCCATCGGAAGTTTTCATATATAGTAATTCAGCACGGTAGTGTCTAGGTAGGCATTCATGATATCTTGATATACAAGTAGTCGCTATGTTTCAATCATTAACCCTAACCCAGAGCCAGCATCAACCAACTCGAACAACAAACCTATTTTGCTCGGTCTACTGATACCATCTAAAAACCATGGTTACCCCCATCGATCATCATAACAATGCAGTTTGGGCCAATGTCCTCTACTCCAGCATGTATGCTCGGTAGCGCAGAAGAGACCCAACGAAAAGCAATACCTGTGCAGTCTCTGCAACCGTTTCTGTCTCACTCTCTCTGCGCTTTGGACGAGCTATAAAGTCCGAAAAGAACCAAGCCAAACCATTCCATCATAATCCGTCCATATCAGTTCATCCCATCATTATTCAAGTAGAAAGCCTCCATTCCACGGGGTGTGCCACTTGCCAGGCCTAGACCGCTAGTAAACCTCACGGCGGTCCTCTTCATCTCTGCCCCTACCATAGGATCCACTGAAAGAACCAAACAGCTGTGCGGCCTCCATACAGTAACCGCCCGAGGCCATGCCCCTTTCACTACCGTAACAGATGACAACCGCATCGACAATACCGCTCAGGATACCTTCCATTGCGCCAAGAATACCCCATCCGATAAAGCTGGCAACCATACCCACAACATAGGCGTACGCGCTTCCCTTAAATCCCATGCTCCCATCAGGACGCTCGACCGTCAGTTGTCGGGCCGTCATAACCCATCCTGCGAAGCCGAGGGCGATAGCCATTATGAACCGCGTAGCATGCAGGATAAGCTTAGCCAGCCGATATGGCAGGAGTGAAGAGTTGACGGTGCCGGATCGAAGAGCGACTGGCGTAAGCGTCGTGGTCGGCCGCTGAGGGGCAAGGAAATCCATCCGGCTGAGGCCTCGAGAAGCAACCGCGAGGGACTCTGAGTGGATAGCGGCGTATGTAAGAGTCAACGGGTTGGTAAGAGCTGCGATCGGCGTGGGAACGAACGAGTAAACAAACATGCCCAAAATGTTTGCGGCGCGAGACGGTAAGATGAGAAGGGGAAGGCGGATGGCTAGTGCTATTAGCGTCGACATGCTGATAGTGCCAAAAATGGTGCTGAGCGCGTGACCCAGGGCAGCAGAAACAACGTCCTTGGACGATGCTGCCGGGACGGCGTTGCGATGAAAGTACCATTGGGATACCGTCGCTGCTGTGGTGGCCCGCTGAATGCCTGAGAGAATAGACAACGTCCAGATATACATCAGAACAAAGTAGATGCCTAGCCACCAGCTGGAAGCGCTGATGATAAAACGCGACAGGTAGCTGGAGAAACTCCCGCCCAAGAAGACTCTAGTAAACATGAGTAACCAAACCCAGGTCCAGAGTACTACCGTGGCTAGGCATCCTACACCAACCAGCATCAACGGCGAATTCGCCGCAAGAATACGACTCGAGAACTCCAGGATATTGATTGCGGATCTGATGGCAGAACGGCCCTTGAAGACCATGTATATCCAGACCACTGCCGCGGCAGCTGGGACGGTGGCAGCCCACCTCATGACTGTATCCTGCGCTCGCGTACTTCCGCTGGTTGACCGGAAACTCAAGATCAAGGGATACAGGGAGAAGACAGTCATGATGATGGGTACAGCCATCAGGATCAAGTAAACCAGTGGCCTGATGTACGCCCGCAAAGTCGCCAACCAGACGAAAGCAACAATCATCGATACCAGCGTGTCGACAGCTAGTAGGTGGAAAGACTTGGTTATGGTGTTGTAGATAGTGTCGCCGAGTGGCCGCTTCCCGCTTGTGTGAAGGTAAACCAGCACGAACGTGGCGAACAAGGAGGCCAAAGCAATCAAGAAGATGTAGGCGAAGAAGGGGTCGTGGACGAATACTTCCCCGTCCGAGACCGGGTGTGCTGGTGTTAGCCCGGCATCTGGTGGCATTCCACCATCGAAGGACCTTCGAGACTCTTGCAGTAGCCCCGCCTCTGAATCTCGCATCGGAACTTCACCTGGACAATATCTTTGCGGTGCCGGCTGTGACTTGAATTTCTGGAAAGCCGGTGGGGAGCTGCCCATAGAAGCCTCACCCAAGAGATCCTCTGGCGGGTCATCATCATCCTCGGCAATTGTTGACTGCAGTCCGACGTCTTCCATGGCACCCTTAGTGCTGTCATCCTCGTCTGAACTTTGGCGTTTGTGCTTCCCCAACAACTTGCTCCCTCCTTGTCGGCGATCGTGTTCACGCTTGGACAAGCTTGTCGAGTCGTTCCAGCTGCTTCTGATGCCGTGGAGGCGAGATCCGAGTGCGTCTTGGTAGCCCCGACTCCTCTCTAGCGAAGCACTTCCATCGTCCTCGGCTTCGGTGCTATCCTCCAACCGGGTGGCAGGTATCACGCGACGGGAGCGTTGCAAAGCAAACAGATCTGCAGCCTCCCGATCATCTTCCTCCTCCTCCTCTTGCTCAACGGTAGCTTGAAACAGCGGCGCATCCTGTGCGTATCTAGACCCGAATCCGGCAAGGGTACCAAAGCGAGAGCCAGCCGTGGGTTGATAAGGGTTGCCTGCGGCTCCTCTATAGTAGGATCGTCCACTCAGTCCTCTGCCTCTGCCGGTCCAGCCCCCTTGTTGCCGCGACGAAGGCCGGTCGTTGTTATCTTGCCCGGCAAAGCTGGACAACCGTGACTGTGACTGGGACAGGAACTTGGACGCATCTGGATGTACCTGTCAGTCAGTACGAAAATTGGTTGAACTTGAGGGGGAATCATCAATTGATGGGAAAGACCGAGGAGGTAGCCATAGATATACGCACATTCCGAGAACATGGCGGTCTATCCCACGCCCCCAAAAGCTGTTTTGAGAAGGTTGTTGCAACTCAAGTGAGGTTGTTCGGAATAGTGGCTCTTAGTGTTAGTCGGCGGTGTGGGACCACGGCGGATGATGCGTAGCTGATGACGGCAGACGGACGCCAGCTGGTGGTCGGAGCGATGCGGCCGAGTTGGAGACGTCGATGTAAGGATGATTCCAGCTTGTAGTTTCTCGAGATCGTCAAAAGAGCTACTGGTATACGATGGCGTGGGATTTGTTAGACAGGATGACCCTGGGTTGTTCTGCTAACAAGACGCTTATAGCCAGGGCCTAATCGGTGGAGGGGGTTCAGAGAGTCGGAGGTGGAGGTTTGGCACTTCAGGCTTCCGTCTGCTTCGTGCAAAGAGAGGATAAACGAGGCGGCCCAAGGCAACGATAATTAACTGGATAATCCTAAGAGGATGCGCGCCATGTGCATCAGGGTATAGAGATATACGAGAGCGAACCAGAAAGAGGATGAAGAGGACGAAATAAAACAACAAGGGAATCTAGACGGCTGTTGATAAGATTCAGAGTCGTAGCGAGTGTAAGGTAGTCGTAGGGTACGGGTGTACAAGAAACAGGCAGACAAGGGATCTGATCGGGTGTCCACAGTGTAACAACTAACAAGTGGGCTGGCGACTGACCGCCCGGCCACTCTCACCCACACTCACCCACATTGCACGCGACAGGGCTCAGTGGGAGCCTGAGGTCCAGTCCGCCTGCCGTGATCAACGGGCAAACCACCAACCACCACTCTCTACCAGCCAACCAACCCTCACATCTTTTCCTAGATGCAGGGTAGGAACCCTGATGGGTACATAGACATGGAAGGCAAGCAGCTTGAAGCCCGCTCCGCAAATAACGACATTTCGGTGGTGCCTGCCGGATGTTTGCTCCTTTTACACTTCACCTTAAGAAACACAGCATTGGCCTCATCGAATCACGGTTCAACTTTAAGTGATGCTGTTCGGCAGTCAGAGTGCACGACATCCACACCGGGAGATAATAGAAAGTGATGAAGGAAACCAAAGGATTGTGCAAACGTGTACCTCACCTGCTGGTCCCCTTTGGACGCTTGATTCTTTGTCCACTGCGCTCTGCGACTCTACAAGTCTTTATCAAAAAAAGCATGATGCCCCATGACATCGTCTTCTGAACGGGGAAGTGTCTGTTATCGTTCACTTGCGTCACTGATAACACCCAATGCCACCGCGAGCCCAGACCAGGTGATCCACTGCAACCGGCCGTCTACCATTGGCTGGATCCGTAACTAGACTAGAGCTGCCATCCCGACCGACAGCTTCTCCCCGTGAGGTGTCAGGCTGTCCTCCATTCAGCGTTCATCGTTCAAGCAGCCAAAGTTCCTGCAGCGACTTCTTCACAAGTACCTATCGTTCTCGGCGTCCATCCTCCACCGCAATCCAACATCACTGAACTCCGACTACCTCTACGGTATATCAGTTCTCAAGCCCCGTCGCGACGAATCAACATCTACCACCTTGTCCACACACACATCCTGCTTTGTCTTTTCTCTTCCGAATCTAGTCCTCATCGGTACTCTGAACGACATCCAGGCAGCGAGCCAGAAGTGCAACCATTACCTCTGCGTTGTATTGTCGTCAGGAACAGTCTGGAAATCATATTCTAAGCAGAAAGGGTCCTGCCGTGAGTTCCAACCACTCTCGCCAGCCTCGGTGGTATCTAGCCATATCATCGACGATCAACCAAGCAGTCAACCCAGCCCAAAAGACACCGCCCAAGCCGCCGACTTTCTTATATAACAAGGAGCCAGATCCACTGCCTATCCCGGGATAGCTCTGTGCAATCCATCACCTCACCTGATCTCCTGACGAGCGAACCCCTTGCAAACTCTCGCTCGGTTACCCAGGGTAGTCTGCGCAACTCGAAACGTACAAACACCAAGCAAGGCCCAGTCCAGTCCGTCATCGAGAAGGAGCATCAATACCACCCCCAACTACATCTGGAGGTCTCTCCTCCATTATCATTATCACCACTAGCTACCACGGATCCATTACCAAGTCAGCAACACGACATCCCACTGTTCCCTCATAACCCAGAACCAACCACAACAATGTCGTCCTCACTACCCTGGGACTACATCGCAAAGCTAGTATGCATCGGCGACTCAGGCTGCGGTAAATCCAGTCTCACGATCCGGCTCTGCGAAGGCCGCTTCGTCACCCACCACGACGTGACCATCGGCGTTGAATTCGGCTCGCGCATCGTCCCCGTCGGTCCTCCACACAGCGACTCTCAAGAACAACAACAACCAGCATCACTTCCATCATTCACAGATTCCACCGATCCTGCAACATCAATACCAAACGGCACCTCCTCCTCAGGCCTCCCCCCACCCCCAATAGCCGCCAAACCCTCCACCAGCACTAGCGAACCCCCGCCGCCCCAAAAACATATGAAGCTCTCCCTCTGGGACACCGCCGGGCAAGAAACGTACAAATCCGTCACGCGCTCTTACTTCCGCGGCGCCTCCGGTGCGCTTTTGGTTTTTGATCTGTCGCGCAAACAAACTTTTGAGCACGTAACCGACTGGCTGAACGACCTGCGGGCCATCGCCGAGCCGGACATTGTCGTCATCCTCGTGGGGAACAAGGCCGATCTTACAGAACAGAATGAAGAAGGGGACGGACAAAACAAGAGGGAGGTAACGAGGAAAGAAGCGGAAGAGTGGGCGAGGAAGAACGGTGTCCTCGAATACGTGGAGACGAGCGCCAAGAGCGGCGAGAATGTCGAGAAGGCATTCATGAGGGTTGCCGAGAGGATATACCAAAACATTCAGGCGGGCAAGTATGATTTGAATGATAGAAGGTCGGGGGTGAAGGGGCCTAGTGCTGGGTTAGGTGGAGGGGGGACAGGTGGGGGAACGAATGTGAAGTTGACGGGAGATAAGGCGGGTGGTTATGGAGGATGTTGTTAAATCGGGTGGGAGGAGGAATGGGGGGGAGAAGGAGTAAGAAGACGGACGAGGAAAAGGAATATGCGCACATGACACGGTACTATACCTTTTAATGAGAACGGAATGATACGGCATTCTACAGATAGCAAAGAGATGGTGATATAATGATCGGGCTGTCGTAATAGTTCGAAAGAGAATGGCCAGAAACGCTACAGCGAAGTAAGCAAGGAAAAAGATGTGGATGGATGTAATGGCGTATCGCTTTGTTGAGTCCTGTTCGACCGAGATGGCTTGGAAACCCATTTATAAACGGGCATTTTCAATGGGGGTAACGGGTAGTAATGGCTGGCTACGCTAAACGTTAAAACTTCTAATTGCTACCCCTAAATGGCTAGTCGACATGTTTAACCGTATTTCTCGACCTGCTACATGCTCAAACAAAGAAGCGTTGGTGGTCCCGATTTATTACATCAAGAAACCCACTATCTTTCGTTGCAGACACTCTCTCGCAAATCGTACAATGTCAGTTATCTTGACAAACACTTTCCAGCAGACACGCTAATCAATTATTCCCTGTTTCTATAGCTCATCGTTCTTTTTGTTTTAGATCAGACTGAAAGGAAAAGGGGCACTGTCAATGCAGATGCACAGAATTTGGTACACTGTAGAGTAGCACCAGTTACAGGAAAACTGGCGCGGTGATGATCGCCAGCCGAGAATGAGGCTGACCTTGGTTTCCCTCCCATTCCCATCTTTAATCCGAGATTCTCCAGTTGTCGAACCACTTCATGTACTTGTACTGCTGGTTCGGGCCCACCATTCCCCAGCTGATGGGCATGAAGAAGATGTAAAGCCCGATAACCGTGGCATAAAGGATACCAAAGCCAATGCTCTGCGTAAGTTTGCTCTTGCCTCTGAAAAACCAGTCGGCAAGGAAACCGAAGGAGAGGATGGCGAAGTAGAGAGCCGGGTAGTAGTGATGAACGTAGGTGACACGGCCCATGACGATGAAGGGCAGGTAGTGGAGGAACCAGCCGATGACAGGGTAGATTCCAGCATAGTGGATCTGGTCAATGCTATCTTGGTTGAGCTCGTTGTAACCACGCTGCCAGCGGAGAGTGTACCAAATGACGAGAAGGCCAAAGACACCGAGACCAGCAGTGGAGCCCCAGTAGACGAGAGGGTTGCCAAGCAAGAAATACTTGACGGTCTTGTCGTCCCAGCTGCACATTCTCAAACCAACGTGAAGGATAGGCCACTGCCACCACTGGGAAGCCAAATCGTCCTGCTTGTCAGGATCGGGAACAAGAGCGTTGTTCGATGTCATCATGGCAACGTTCTGTCACGCATATTAGAGAGGTTTCAAGAAGGCAACCGGGAACAGAGACAGAGGCACGTACCAAGTGAATGAAGTCCTGAAAGAATTGGTTCTTGTACTGGCCGGGCTCAGCAGGAGGAACTAGTTCCTGTTAGTACAAGGAACAAGGCCCCTCTCCTTTATGGTGCAGACTTACGCTTGGGGTTAGTGTGGGACTCAACGTTCCAGTGAGTATAGGTGTCACGGGGGTTGTTGGTCTTGGTGCAGGTAGTCTCGATCTGCTTAAAACCCCACTGAGGAAGGTTAACGGTTCCAGCGCGGAGGTAGCATCCCAAAACCTCGTGCTTCAAGCGGAAGGCAGTGGTAAGAGTGCGGATCTTGGAGCGATCGCGAGAATTGGTGTCCTTGACGACCTCAATCTTCCAGTGGTCCTTCTCATCACCCACGGTAAGGTTGCCATAGCAGGAGACCTCCTTGTCGGCCTTGGTCATGGGAGCGGGTATCTCGTGGGAGTGAAGGTTGCGGCCGGTCTGGGCATGGATGAGGCGAACAGTGCTGCCATCACCAATATAACGGATCTCGTCAGAGCTCTCATCATAAGCTTGCTCCCTGCGGTTAGGATAGAAGAACCAGTCGTTGTTGGAATCTTTGTGGTGGTAGCAAGTCACTTGTTGTTGGTTAGAGCCCTCAGGGTAGGTCTGAACGTGACTGTGAAGCAGGCCACCACCATAGCCCATGTTCTTGATGGTCACGCGAGAGCCGAGAGCAAGCTCCAGAGGGCTGTCTCTGCCAACCTCGGTACCTCTCAGATTAGCCTGGAAGAGCGAGGGCATTTGGGCATCGCCAGGGCCGGAGTTGGTCAGAACAATGAAGTGGATGGCAAAGCTCATGAGGTAGATCGCAAAGGGCAGGATGATGAGGCCGACGACACGAGCGGCAAAATGGGCAGCCAGAACCTTAGGGGGCATCTTGACATCGCCGAACTTGTTCCAAAGGTCCTCAACGGTGTAGAGACCGACGAGAGCGGTAACGAAGAGCCCAACCCACTTGACACTGCAGACAAAGCCGATGCTGAGACCAGTCAAGAACAGCCAGGAGAACCACTCAGGCGAGAAGCTCTTCCTGCGCAGGTTATGGAACTTGGCCCAGCACAGAGTGGTGGCCACGGTACCGAAGAGGAGCATAGAGTCGAGGAGGATGAAGCGACTAATGGTGGTGTACGAGTTCTCGCAGAGAACCATGAGAGTGACGAGCCAGACGGCAGGGAGCTTGAAGCGGAGCTCCTTGGCGGTATAGTAGGCCATGGGAACGCACACGGCTCCCCAGAAAGCGTTGAACTGGCGCATGAAGGTGTAGTTGATTTCCTCGGGGTAGGTCTCGCCGGACTTGAACTCGAAAGATCCATTGTAACCGGCAAGCAATCCGCTCAGACCAACGAGGAGCTTTCCGGCAGGAGGGTGGACATCGAAGTAAAACTCGCGCTTGAGGTAGTGGCTACCAAACTTTCCGAAACTGTACGTTGCATCGTGTCAGCTAGCTTCGACATTTATGGGATTTGGGTAGACAGGTGTGCTTACTGGGCTTCGTCCCATGTCACAATGGGAGAGAGGCCAATCTTATAAAAACGCGTGAAGAAGGCCAGGAACGTGAATACGAGAGGGGCAATGATCCACTCCCGGCTCGCGATGGAATCGAGGAAGCTCTGTTCCTAGAGTACAGATGTTGTTTAGCATGGACAAGGCGTAACATAGGGGCACGCAGGCTAGCTACGAACCTTCTTCACTGGAACCACAGCCTTCTTGTTGTCCACGGACTGGGGCGTTTCGAAAGCAGTTGGAGTAACAGAAGCAACGTTGCGTCTCCGGACCGCGTCTCCAAGAGGGTCGGCACCGGAGACCATGGTGGCTCGCTCGGAGCCTACCGTGGGGGCCGCCATGGTGCAATTTATGCTCAACGGAGCTTCAAGTGTCTCGATCGATTGTGGGCGTAGACGAGATGGATCAATCCAATCGAGGATCGGGTTATGTGGTGGGTGGTGGTGGTTCAGATGGCGAGGCCGATCATGGAAGGTTTAAAAAAGATGGAGTTAAAGAGAGTGTGGAACGGACGCGTGGTGGTGGTAGTATAGTTAAGGAAGTGGGTGATGTAAAGAACAAGGTACTAAGAATATAACGGGACGGGGGGCCGGGGGGAACCGTGGGCCTTTGTCAGTGAAGAGGATTCTCGAAGTCAACAAGGTACCTTTGTTCCCAGCTGATGCTTGGAGGTCAAGACGTCAGGCAAGGAAGAGGGAAAGTGGAAAGAGGACGTGAAGATCAAAGGTGTCCGGAAAAGGTCGAAGCCCAAACAATCGACGATGTGCCGCCGAAGGGAGAACACGATTGCGTTCAGAAAGGTTGAAATGGAGGGGTGAAGGAAACAAAGGGGGCTGCCGGGTGTGGCTGAAAGCTCGTCCTTGTAAGAAAGACGAAACTGTAAAATGGGGTGGAGGTTGAGAAGAAAGCTCCAAAGAAGAGATGAGCTGTGAAGGAGGAGGAAGGAGGACCGCAGAGGAAGCCTGGCTGGAGACACTTTCGACTCGTAATCGCCGGGGATCACCAAAAAGGGATGATGCACATCTCGTTGACACTTGTTCTTCGTGGCCTCTTGGGGCCCGCAGTCCGCCGCAGGCCCGCGCAGCGTTACAGGTGATGAGCTTGCATCTGATTGGCCAGTGAGTCCACATCCAAGGCCGTTCGTTCATTTTGTGGGGTTCCATTTCACTGGGCTGACCGGGCCTGCCCGGGGGACTCCATGCTCTAAAAATGCGGCCCTGCTGAACCAGAGTGATGGATCTCCCGGAGCCACGGGAGAGCTCGGGAGAGCTTCAAGAGCTCCGTTTCATCGGGTATTTTGGGTCTGAAGGCTATTCCCATGTCAACTTCCATCTGATTGAGTGTTGAGCCGCCACAAACCTGGTGTTGGAACATATGGCATTATGTCTTCTGCATAACGGACATAAAGGACACTGTTGCATTTTGGACCCCTCGTATAAAATTACAATACAATTGCAGCTTCCCCCTCCCTCACAATTTTGGGCTTGGCTTCATCTGCACCGTGCCTACCTTCCAGATTCACATGTGCTCCTTTCGGCTGCGATCTACCAATTGAATTGGAAGAACGAACGAGGTGGTGGATTTTCGCCGTGGCCAACAAAACAGCAAGAGCAACCAACAGCAAACAGAAAAGAACACATCATTTCAGTAAGGTTTTGGGGTTTGTTTACTTCCCCTGAACCTGAAACCCAAATAACCCTTTATTTCGATTCCATCCCATTCGACCTCCGTCTCAGTACAAAGAAATAAACTTTTCTGTCAACAAAACTGGACTTCGAATAAGCTTGATCGCCTCATTTGTCCACGCACCCTCCTTCTCCGTTCGAACGCCTTGAAAATAATAGGTCTTTTCCACATCCAACCCCAGCTTCCTTGCTGCTGGACTTATCACGCTCCCATTCACCTCACCCTCTCCGTCAACATGGCGGTTGGTCTCATCGTCTAGAGACACCGTCTCAACCTCAAGGGGAACATGAAACTCCCCCCTTTTGGTAAAGAAGTCACCCTTCAATCTCGCAATCGTCCTCCACTGCCCTTCCTCTCCACCCTCCTGAATCTCGAACACCGTCGGCCCATAGTCGATCTCAAACGTGCTCAGATTCCTCATGGTCATCACCACCTTTCCCTCTTCTGGGTCGACATCCTTGATGAGGACGGGGAACCCGTTCATCCCCAACACGTGGATATCCTTGTTGTACCCGCACTGCGCCGTCGTCCCAAAAGGACCCTTGAGATGGGCCTCGCCGTTGCGGAGCTGGTACATTAGCTTCTCGTTGTGGATGGAGTCCGATAAGAGCTGCAGCCAGATGGCCATGTCGGAGATGTGGATGGTTTGGTCGTAAAAGTGCACGTGGGCGCCGTTGAAGCGCGTCTTCACCCGCGGCAGCAGCATCTTGCCGAATTCCCGATCGAGATAGACGAGGTCGACGAGCATGGCGTCAATGATCGAGCCGACTGGGCCGGTGGAGGTCACTTGGGCCTCTACCGAGACGTTGAAACTACTGTTTGTGTGAACAAGAAGATAATTGTCAGTCAAGGGTATGGAAAGCTGAGACTTGGGGAGATGAAGTGGAAAGCTTACTCTGCTGTGCATTCTGTTATCCTGACTAGTGTGATCTCCAGCCGCGAGTGGTTGAGCAGATACTGAACGACGCTGTCCATGATGGGCAAGGGTTGAGACTTGTGTGTTTGGCAAAGACTTTTTTCAGCTTCAGCTCTGCTAACTAAAAGCTTGAGAAGAAAGTCTCTGTTATCTGTTAGATAAGAGCAGCAACGGTCAGCCATCTTGGATTTCAAAACCATTCATATAATGGGGTGCTTCGAGAATCTTTACTCACATGCTAGCTCGGCAACAAGACAGCCAAGAAACCGAGAATGGTAGATATGCTTTCGCACTCACACACCACACTCGTATGGGGTTTGTGAATGGTTATTGAGGGTATAGAGAAAGCAAAGCAGAAGAACAAAAGATGGTGGACATGTAGGGAAATGCAGATGTTATGAAAATCTGATTTATAACGAAGTACTGGGTAGCCCAACCACCGACAGCAAAGACTAGTATAGTAGACTACATGCCAACTTTCATGTAGGGATTCGGGATCTCTGTTCCCTTATAGTGATCGACATCGTCAATGGGCAAGGGGAGTAACGCGAGGCCATCGGGCGAGACGGGACCGCAGAATGGGTACTGTGAGTAAAGCGTGCTCGCGGTTCCCCACCGGAAGACCGCCGCGATCCTAGCCCATGCTTATGCTTGCAGCAGAAAAATGAGGCTACGTGACGAAGTCGGCGATAGCACCGGCGCAGCATCGCAGGCACGGCAGGACGCGAAATGGAGATGTCGGGTTCTCGACCTATCCGGAAGTCGTTCCGTATGGGACGGTATGGGGCCCCTATGCGGGGTCGGCGCGCAAGAATGGGCTAGGCCCAATCCCAGCTGCGTAAAAGAGTCCCTGGTCCGGGATGCTCTATTTCAATTCCTACCGATAGGGGACCAGGGACCTGGGAGCCATGGCTGTTACGGAGTATCTTGGATCACAGATCTGATACGGCTGATCAGGCGGGACGAGCTCAGCTGTCTGGGGTCCAGGAGCGTCAATCCATCGAGGAGTGAAGAACTGGTGTCAGACATAAAAAGTTGACGAGACACATCTGGCTCGGCCATATGCTTGGCGTCGCACATAACGAGACGGCATCGGCGATCGGCCCAACCCTCGTTTGAGTCCCCCCAGTAGACCCAGTTGACCCAGTTGACCCAGCTAACCGGGACGGTTCCCCAGATGCTCCTGCTTGGTGGTATCTGACATGAATTTTGCATAATACTTGTACACATGATATACACAAGCCAAACGCTGTCCCTTGCTTTTCCCCTATATACGCTGCTGGCTAGCGCTGGACCTATGCGGAAGCGGCCTTGATGGACTGGGCGTCGCTCATGGCCTTGGCCAACATGGCCTTCTCTCTCTTCTTTGCATCGTTCATCTTCCGGATGCGCTCGCGGTCAATCTCGGACTTCCTACGAAGGTCCTCGAACTCGCGGAACTCCTCCTCGTCCTTGGGCGTCGGCTGAAGTGGAACGGCACCAGTCGTGGTCAGAAATTCGTTAAGAATAACGGACGACTTGCGGTTCTTCATGTCGATGGTGACTATCCTCTCGCCCTTGGCAGGCTTCGGGGCTGGGGATGAACCGTCAGCCGAGGAAATCGGAAAGGGGGCCGAAGATGGCGTAGCCTCCTTGTCGTTGCGGAAGTAAATGGTCATGACAGCGGGACCGTTCTGGTCGCTTGTCCTGTTGATCACCATGGGGACCGCGGGATTCCAGTACTTGAGCTTCGGGAGATTCTGCCTCCAGAACTTCCTGCAAAGAAACGGCCATTAGTTGGATGGCCAGACACTCGGTATATTTGTAGGAGAATGAGCGTACCTGGGACCCATATGGCCACCTTCGATCTTGTGAGCAAACTGCAAATGCACCTTGGTGACCTCCTTGGGGAGGAGGGCAGCGCCCGGCCCGGCGCGGATGTTCAGGAGCTGATGCCGTACGTCAGCATTGCCATGATGGTCGCGGTAGTGAAGACGAGGTGCCGAACATGTTGCGCATGCGCCGTCGTAGAGGTGGAGTGGTTCAAGTAGTAGCGATCGTATTTACCTTCTGTAGAGGTTGTTAGCATTAGCGATTGCGCTTGTAGGTATGTTGACACGGTTGTTGACTTGGAAGATACTCACTTCCCTGACGACATTGAGACGACGAATAACGCCAACCATTTTGAAAAACTGTCGAGCCGGAGAGCTTCCTAGGGGCGAGCAAACAAAGGTGTGTTTACTGGCGACTACAGTTCCTGAGAGATGGGCCTAGGCGGGACTTGGGGTCGCAGTTCGGGACCACACTGAGCAGCGACGACCTCGACGCCATGCCGCGACATGGGCCCGTCGATTTTTTGCCGGCCCGTCAACGCCTTTGGAGCACTCGCCGCCCGGCATCATTGCCTGCCGGACGCTCTATCACAGATTGTGGCACCACAGAAGCTAGGTGAGCACCAATCGAAGCGGCGGGGTCCCTGTTAAGACCCGCTAAAAAGTTCGGTCGCAAGCCGAAAAGGTTCGATCAGATTTGGGACGGGATCCGCTGAGAGCACCAGGAGCATCCGTCATTCGCTTCGTTTCTTTCCTCCGATGTGTACTTATCATACTTACGGGAACTGTTGTTGAGTTCCACGTACATTCAATAATCAAGATATTTTCAACCTGTGAAACTTTAGGCTTCTTGTTACCTATACCTCAGGTATTCTCGAAGCCGCATCCATCCCCACGACACCTATAAACCTGCGACGGCCAGCCCGAGAAAGACGTCATGCCATTACAATCCGGGCGCACCCTCAGCTCCAGGTGGCTGTCCAGAGCCTTCTGTCTAGACCGATGTACCACGACCTCGAATTCGGCGGCTAAGCTTCCTCTTTACCTCTGTCCCGCCTTCCGACCAGTCGCAAACCTCAGCCTAAGCCCTCGTCGCTATAACCACACCATCCCCTCGGTCCAGTGCCGAAGACTGCACACCGAAGCAACCCATGAAGCTCATACCCCGACCGAGCCTCTTCATGCCGAGAAAGAACCGACACGAACACTACCGATCCAATGTACAGGCTGCGGAGCTTTGTCCCAAACAACAATACCAGAACAAGCAGGCTACTTTGACGTGTCGCGCAAAGCTGTGAAGGAATACTTGGGCGTCATCGAACCAGAGAAAAGAAAAGTCATACGCAGTGCAGATCAGGTCATTGAAGATGCGCTCAAGAACATCAATATGGAAGAGCTGGAACGGATGGGTGTTGACCTGAAGTCTTTGCTACCTAAAGACTACCAAGCAAACAAGAAGTCGCCGGAATCCGAAGGTCCTCCTCATCCTCCCCTCTGCGACCGCTGCCACGAGTTGGTCCATCACCGCAAGGGGAACTCCATCTTCCACCCCGGCGTCGACTCCCTGAGAGAGACCATCGAAGAATCTCCCTATAAATACAACCATGTATACCACGTCGTCGACGCTGCCGACTTCCCGATGTCGCTGATTTCCAAACTCGAACGGCTAGTGGGCACCCTACCAATCCGGTCCAAAAACAGAAGAGCAAAGTCCGAGACATGGCATGCCGGTCGCCAAATAAACCTCAGCTTTATTATCACCAGATCGGACTTGCTTGCGCCAAAGAAGGAGCAGGTGGACAGGCTGAAGCCTTACCTTGTTGAGACACTGCGCAAAGCACTTGGCAGAATCGGCAACAGGGTCAGACTTGGAAATGTGATGTGCGTCAGCGCACGCAGGAATTGGTGGACGAAGGAACTCAAGGAAGAGATCTTTGAGCATGGCGGTGCCAACTGGATGGTTGGGCGGGTAAACGTAGGCAAGAGCCGGCTCTTCCACGATATCTTCCCTCAAGGCCGCATGAACTGGCAAGATAACCAGAAGCTTCCTGTTCTCCCTGCCTTCCGCAACAACAACGTCACATACGGCAAGCTCGATGAGGGCGACGATGCCCTTCTCCCGCCCGCTCAGCCAGAAATGAACTACCCAGCCATGCCCATCGTCTCCGACCTACCAGGCACCACCGCCTCTCCGGTCCGCGTTCCCTTCGGCAACAAAAAGGGCGAGCTGATCGATCTACCCGGCCTCTCTCGTGGTGACCTGGAACTTTACGTCAAGCCCGAGAAGCGCGCCGACCTCGTTATGAAGATGCGCGTCGTGCCTGAGCAGGCCGTTCTCAAACCCGGCCAGTCCCTGCTCGTCGGCGGTTTCATCCGCATCACGCCCAAGACCCCCGACCTCACCTTTCTCGCCTACTCATTTACGCCCATTGAGGCGCACGTCACGGGGACCGACAAGGCCATTTTGGTGCAGGAAATGAAGGAGGGCGCGCCCCACGTGGAGAACATTGCGCTCCCCGAGACGGCGGAGAAGATCAAGCATGCCGGCTCATTTGCGCTCAAGTACGATGTGACGAGGCAGCGCAGCGGGCCGTTGACGAGGAAAAACGCCTGCGGGTTCAAGGTCGATGTTCTCCCGTTCCGTGTGCTGTCGATTGATATCCTAATCGAGGGTGTCGGATGGGTAGAGGTTGTGGCGCAGGTCAGGGCCAAGAATTTGGAATACAATCCCATGAAAGATGAGCAGCCTGAGAAGGAGGAAGAGCAGGAGGACGAGATAACCCCCGAAACTGAAAAGGAAGAATACTGGACCGATCCTCTCCCGTCCAAAACCAAAAAGTCCGTCGCCTTCCAAGACCCCTTCCGACTCGACACCCTCGATCTTTCCGATCCCAACGACGAGCCCAAGCCCAAGCCTAAACCGGTTCCTAAGCTAGTGGAAGAAGAAGACCCATTGGCCCCGCCCCGCATCAAGGACGCAGAAGTTGTAGAAGAGATGGAAGAGACGGAGGAAGAATCCAACAAGAGGAAAAAGAAGGAGGAAGAAGAAGCAGAGGAGGAAGTCCAGCTCAACTGGCCCATTATAGAGGTCTACAGCCCCGAAGGCAAGTTCATCGGATCCAGACCGCCCATGGGCGCGTGGTTGTTGAATCAACCTAAGACGGACAACAGGAAGAGGCCGAGGAGGTCTATGAAGGGTGTGAAGAAGGAGAAGAAGAGGATGGCTAGGGAGAAGGCTGCTACTGGTGGTGGCGGGCAGTAAGTGTTCTGTTGTGTGTTCGTGGATGTAAGATAAGATGCAAAAGAAAGTCAAAGGAGGGAGCGTGTTTATGTTTTCTGGATATCCCCCGATTTCAACATTTCTCAAGGTACTCAAAAGGCGCTTTTACAAGGGTGGATATAGACGAAGGGGTAGATAGATAGAAAGAAAGGAAGAGAGAAACCTAATTGTTCGAAATTTGCGCATTTGGTCAAGGCAAAAGCACGTCACCCAAAACCGTTCCTAATGACCTAGATTTACCATGGATTATTGTCACCGTCAAATCTCGACATGGTCGGTACTGGTGATCCTTAAGAAAAGTTCGCCCGGTCTTTATGACCTTGATGGATGGGTATGTGCAAGATGTCGATTTCATGATTACCGCAGGCTTCATTTTCATTAACAAGCATTTTATATACGGGTAACCCGCTTTTGTCTAGCCTGTTCCCCTTACTCATCGTCCTCATCCTCATCCCCATCATCTTCATCCTCATCCTCAGAAACCTCACCGCCAAGCTTCTTGAGTTGTTCCTATACGACAAAAAACAAACAATGTCAGTGATTGTCCAATTCCAAGGGCGACACTCCAATAGCAAGGGGTTGTTAGGGTTAGACTCGAAGAGAAACGTCGGGCTTACCTTGTACTTCTGCCTCTTCTCCTCCAAATCATCAAACAGCAACAACAGATCGTCACGCTCGCTCTGCGCATTCTTCAGTTCTTCCTCCATCTTCTTTTCCACCTCCTTCTCGGTCTCCTTCTTTGCTTTCTCCACGGCCTTGGCCGCCTCCTTCTCGGCCTCCTTCTCGGCCTCCTTCTTGGCCTTCTCGACAGCCTCCTCAATAGCCTTGGCAACGGCTTCTTCCCTTTCTTTTTTCAAGTTGCTCTTGCAGCGAGGTGAGGGCGTCTTCCTTTTCTTTCCGGAGACGGGCTTCGGTTTCCTTTACCTTCGCTTCGGCTGCCGCCGCTGCCGCCTTGGCCTTCTCGGCTTCAGCCTTGGTGTCTGCTGCTGCGTCAGTCGTCGTGGCGTCAAAGGTGGCGGCGTCCTTGGTAGTCTCAAGTTCCTTCTTGACAGCTTCATCCTTCTCCTTCTCCAACCGCTCCTTTGTCTCCAACTCGTCCTCCTTCTCTTTTAGCGACTTCTCTACAGTTTCCAACGCATTCTCCCTCTCCTTCAGAGTCTTCTCCTTCTCTTCCAGGGTTTTCTCCACTTCCGCAACCGCCTCCTCCTTCTCTTTGAGTAGCCTCTCCACTTCCTCCTTGTCCTCCTCAGCCACCTTCAGCTTCTGTTCAAGCTCCTCCAATTTCTCCGAAGTGGTCTTAGCGGCCTTCTCCGCCTCAGCCAACTTCTTCTCCACGGCACTCAGCGCATCGCCAGTCTTGGACAAATTAGTTTCCAGTTCCTTGACCTTGCTCTCGCCGTCCGTCCGGGCCTTGTTCGCCTTCATCAGATCAACCTCCATCCGACTTATCGTCGCCTTCAAATCGGCCTTCTCAGCTTCGAACCGACGGCTGGCACGCTCGGTTTCTTGCTCTGAGGCCTTGCGGGCGGTTTCTATTTGCTGGGTGAGTTGCTCCTTTTCGGTGCGGTGGTCGCGCTGGAGGGACTCAAGCTTGGTCTGATGCTCGCGCTTCAGGGACTCGATTTGGGTGGCGTGCTGCTTGGTCAGCTCGTCCTCCTCGTTCTTGGCTTCGCGGCGGGCAGCTTCGAGGAGTTTGCGGCCTTCGTCCTCCTTGGTGCGAAGATCCTTGGCGAGCTTGTTCAGCTCTTGCTCGTGGGCGCGCTGGAGGCCGTCGTTGACGGTCTTGAGCCGGGTTGCTTCCGCCCGAGAACGCTGGTGCTCGGCTTGCTCCTTAGCGAGGTTCTGCTTGAGTGTCGCGACAAGGGCTTCAATGTTTTGGATCGCGTGGTCCTTGGCACCCAGCTGCACGCGCATGTGCTCGACGGCTTCGTTGGCGCGGTGTACGTCTGACGCTGTTTGCTCCTTGGTGCGTCGGTGGTCCGCTTGTTCCTGCCCCAGCTGCGAGGTGAGATTGGCTTTCTCCGTGGCAAAGTCTTCGAGTGCCCGGTCCTTCTCCTCGAGCTGGGCCCGCAGAGAGTCGACCAGCTCGCGTGAGACGCCCTTTTGCACGCCGTTAGTAATGACGGAGATCTCAAGCCCCGGGTCGCGGTCGATGGCCCGGATGATGCGGCTGTAGTTGTCCTTGAAGAACTCGACAAAGGTGTCGTCTAGGTACACGTCGGGAAGCTTCTGGTCGAGACTGAGGTCGAGCTTTTGGGGAAGGATCTCGTAGTCCCTCATCAATGGGTAGGAGCGTAGTCTGGTCAGCTTTTCCACATAGCGATCGCGGCCCATGCGGGACATGACCATCTCGCGCACCTTGGCGCGGGGGACGGGTGAGTCTTTGGTTGAGAACTCGTACACGACACCGATCAGCATGGCACTGAGGCCTTGCACGATGATGTCGCCATTGGGGTTCTCCACGGCCGCTTGGATGAGCCCCTGAAGGTTGGTGAACTCCCCTAGGAAGTCGTTGACTGCGTCCAGGTCCTCGAATAGCCAGCACAGGAGGAGCTGTAGATAGCCGATGATGACACGAGGGTCATCGTTCCTAGCCACGCTTCTGAGAAGATGTGACGCAACAGTTTGGATACTTGTAACCACTTCCTCGCCACTCGCCTCGTCTCCCTCTGTGACCTCCATGGCCAGATGCTTGGTCGTGGGGTTTTCATGAACCAGATGAAGCATGAGAACAGCGGCGAACCAATACCTATACGGATCGGCCGTAACCTGTTCTGGAACTGGCTGAAGCAACGTTGTGAAAATGTTGGTAAGCTCATCGGCCTGCATCTTGTGGCCTTGGATAGCTCTAGTGAGGAAATGCTTCCGGATTTCCTCATGGTTGTTGAAGTAGGCCTTTAAACAGTTGCAAGCTGCCATGCGCAAGTCGAACTCCATTAGTGAGTTGACGGCCAGGATAAGGTCCAGTAGACCGTCAATAACATAGACCTTTGGCACCCCGTTGGAGTGAGGACCTCCTTGACCGTTCATTGCTGGATTGGCAAGTGGAGAGGGAACCTCCTGCCCGGCGAACCTCTCCTGTAGCCTGGCATTACCACGAATCATGTCTGCGCAAGCCGCAAGCGCTTCCGCTCTTATGGGAAGGTCAACGCCAAAGGTGAATCCCAGCTGGAGAGTATTTTCAAGTACACGATCGTTCAGAAATGCGATCTGGTTCGCAGGGATTCCGGCCGCGCCTGGGACCAAAAACAGACGTATCAGAGCAAGCAAAGCATAGATGTTCCTGTTCCGTTGTTCCTCAGCCCACTGTGCAACCTCCTCCCCGTCTGTACTGCCCTTGTAGGCACTTCTTAATAGCTCTGCAAGTCGTTTGATGAATCCCATCTCCCTGACATTGGACTGGTTGGACGAGTTGAGACGAAGCAGGTTCGCCAGCAAGATCAAGCAATCCTCCACCACCCTCGCGCCCTCAACAAGACCTCCCTCATTGGTGATGATGTCGAATATGCGCTCAAACCCCTTCTCGAACGCCACAAGCTTCTGGATATCAACGGATTCGGCGGTAAGGTCGATCAGCAGGCTGATGGCAGCATCCCGGACAGCCTCCCGCCTGTCGTCGAGCACGGCAACCAGCCTAGGGATGCCCAGGGGCGCAACGAGGACGCATTCTTCCGTTCTCTCTGTTCGGGCAAAGTGTATGTGGGAGAGCAGCTGGAGCGAGTAGAGTCGCGAGTAGAAATCGGTCGTGTCGAGCAGGTCGAGCAGCAGGGTGATGTTCTCCTGGCGCTGGGTGAACTCGTCGGCAAGCCATAGCGCAATCTCCTCTGAAGCTTCGGGGCTGTCTTCGTTGGGGCTGAAGAGCATCAGCAGCGTCTCGAGGACGACCTTGACCGTGTCAACATCCTCGCCATCCCTACTCAAGCTCCCAATGAGGCTTCGTAGAGCGCCAGAGGCAACCGAGGCCGGGTACTGCTTGGAGAAGCTGCGCAGGCCGAGGATGGCGGCGCGACGGTCTTCGAGGAGGGTTGCGGTGTTGAGGCGGCCGCTGAGGACGGCGATGGTTTCGCTTACCGACTGCTTGGCCGGGGCAGTCGTAATGGTCGAGAACATGTTCGAGGATAGAGGTAGTGGACTAGTTGATTAGATGCCATGGAGAATCATAGTGTACGGCGGGGTGGGCACATGCTAGTTCTAGATGGTCGAGGAGAGGTCGGGATCCCGTCACCTCTTGCGTCGTCGGGTGTCAGTCAGGGGTACCTGTATGACCCCCTGGAGGTTGCTTGTTGACAACGGCGAGCTGCAGCTACAATATAGCGCTGTAAGTTACAGGGGCCAAAGTACGCTATAGCAGGCAGCTTATTGTCTTTGGTGTAATTGTTGGGATGTACCCAGACACAACGCTTGAAAGCAGCTTCCGTCGGGCAATAAAATGGAGTCAATAGAAGGGACAGGTGGTCCATTCAGACGGAAAGTCCAGACAGCACAGCAACAGAATTGGCAATGATATGGTAGCATTCAACATTATGACCGAATTACCAGTCTCTCGAGCCTCAGAAATCGTGCACCTCTACGGTTCCTGCGCCGCAATCGTACTTTGGTCTGTTAACTTGCTTAACTGTTAGCAATGGAGTATCATGTGTAACTGCAATAGGCCGATAACAGGCTACTGTGGCGCTGGTATTGGTCTTATCGGCTCTTATCGCCCCCTTGCCGCCTGGCCTTGGCACTCGTTGAACCCTTGAATTCTTTCGCAATGTCAGAGCTCGCGTTCCGGTCCCGTCATTCTTTCCCAGTTCATCCCACTCCTGCCACTCCATCACCACTTCTGCAATCGCTCTTATCCAACGAGCATTGCTGCAAGGACCGCTATTCTTTGTCAATTTCAGCCCGGATTTCTAGGCTTTTTGACAGGGCGTGTTCTTTAGAAGCTGGAACTTTCCTACAGTGCTCTTTCAGGTGAACCTTGGTGGTTCCCATTCGGT